TATATAATGGTTACTCAACCATACAGATGATCGCATATGCAAAAGGTAACAGACATGTATTCCAATTTCAGCTTTTTAATTCGAAAACGCTTATACTTAATAACTTTCTGGTGTTCTTTTCATAGTGAATATTGTTGATCCCGACGACCAGGTGATCAAACCCGAACCTTTCAATTCTTGTTGGATTACGTTGGCAGATTATAGTTCTGAACATCATTGATCATGTTCCAGAATTTCCCACTTGTGTTACTGTTTATCCAGGAGACCTTCCCTATTATTCAACATATCAGTATGCGGCTTTATACATATATATATATATATCTATATATATATATATATACACTTATACCGATTTTCGCCACTTTCCTTATAGTCGTTAAAGCAGTACAAATAAAAATCAAGGAAATAAAGTTTCATCGAAATAATAACATATATCACAAGTTTGCCTTATTTTGATTGAGATTTGTGTGCTCGCGGATTTAAAACAGAACTAGATTTTCATGGTTCCCTTTTAAGTTTGTCATTATTCGAATGGGCAGTTGTGCCTGGCTTATGTCCTGCGTGAACCAAAATTGGAATATTATATATACCAGATTTACCGAGGCATTTGGCCCTTTCCACCACATTGAGTAAAAGAAAGTCTATATACAGCCTGTTCCATTTTTAAATTTGCGAAGCTCCTAATAAAACGATGCTTCCAAAAGAAACAACTTTGTTGCATATAGGGCTCGGAAAAAAAGTTTATGTCAGCATCCAAGTTTTTGGAAACGCTCGTCTATCAACGCGACGACTCGAAACATAAAACACACAGTCACTGGTGACATGAGAAATCTCAAAATGGGCATTACAATTAACGAATGAGATTCGTCTTCTAGAGTGCAGAAATGAATGGGTTTTGATGGAGTAAGTCTGATTGAGAACGTGATTTGTTTTCGGCTGTTTTGACAACACCATTCGGTGTTTTGTGGCCATTTGTAGCCGTGGAAGCCAAACGTCTCGGGAATAAATGTTTCAACAATAAAATGGAAAACTACAATGGGCATTGTTTGTTATTAACCATGGTAGCCATACCTCAAAGACAAGGTCGAAAAGGAAACATGAAGTATGAGAAACTAACTAGTTTTGTACTGATTTATCATGTTGCTCAAAACAACTCTCAACGTTTGCTTCGAACTTGCGGTTTTATTCAATTTGGTACCAACGAGAAAACACATTACAATTCGTAATGTTCTCAACTTTGATTTATTGAACCTTATGAAAACTGGTGGTTTTCAATCTAAATAAATCCATTAACTTCCGGTTTTCCAATATACAAAAACAAAGCAGTATTAACCAAAAGGTAGCTTCCATCGACTGACAGCAGAATACCTGAAAACGGAGGGGAATTGATCGATAAATCGATGTATGTTCCCTTCGGAATCATTAGCACAAAATTAAAAAGAATTTCGAGTACGACTCAAACTATCCAGTGCTAACCGACATTCGTTTCTCCCCGAACTGAAGTCAAAGGTCATCGTGAAAACTGAAATGTATTTCGATTACAAAGTTCGGGTATGTATAAGGTCTGAACGTTGTTTTCAACTGTGATTTGACTTACTAAAATCAAAAAGGTGCTAATTTGCTACAAAATGCCTAGACAGATCGTATCAAGGGATGATCGAACTAGCGCGGTATACTGATTTTCGTCAAACCTCTCCCTTCCAATGCCTAGCGTTTTGAACTTCATACACGGGATTGACTATGGTGTTACCCGAAATCAGACGCAACATCTATTTGACAGTATCCACTTCCAATGCTTGCTTATTTTAGTTAAATGTCATATAAAATTAAGCTTTTCAATTGTGAAGACGATTGCTGAAGCGTCAGTTGTATGATAATGACATCTGATTAAGAAAAGAACCCTTGCATTATTGAAACTTTAACTCATAAAAATGGCACAGCTACTGAACTCATTTTGCCAACGCCATTTGTTCTATGCTTGCATTTTAGGCATTTAAGCCGGTCCTTTTCGAATGGAGTCTGCCAGATGGGCAATCAAATTGCATTTACCAGTTTCCCGCGAGTATGCCCCACACTGGTCTCTATCGACCACTCTCAAGTTAGAGAACTGATCTCAGATTTTAACCTCTCTAAAAATGTTTTCGATCACTTTCAAATCCGGACTGCTGGGCAGTAACTGAATAAATTCAGCCCCAGAACTTTATACACGTGGGAAAGAAAAAAACGATGAAATACAAGCACTGCGAATGATAAAACCCACGTGAATTGCGACATTCAGCTTCATTTAGGAAAAGAGTGCCAATGCGAGCGTAGTAATCACGAAAAAACTATCTCGTCTGGGTGACAAATTTAGCGCTATCTCGAATGCCACGTACGGAAGCCCAACTATAAGGTATTCTGTATATACTTCCAATCCAACTCATCCGGAAAAAGAGAAATTTTTTCCTCGACCGGTGCAGTCGATGTCCTCGGATAGCTAATTGAGTAGCCTTTATGCGTTATAAATTTGTCAACTAACTGCCAACAGAAGTTTAGTGCTAATTTGATTTATGGTTCATGTGAGAAGCCACAAACTTGAAGGTCGAATTTTAAAATCAATGTTCGCATTTTTTAGATCACACTTTTACTTACTTCATGGTGAGGGTTTTCATGTGTGCAGCTGTTATGTAGTAAAATTATCCTTTATCTATATGTTTTCTGTGAACCTTATACAAATATGCTATTTTGAATGCTTTGACTAATTAAAATATACATCCTCATGAAAAAACAATAATTACTCAGGAGGAATGATGTACTATGATGCTCTGCCGCAAATACTTTCCAATGCTCGGCTGCAGAATAAAACCACTACGATCGCGCGAGGTCAAATGGGGGTGTAAGGGATTTAGGACCGTTGCATTTTGAATTTCACCCATAGTTATAGTTGAACACATACGTGGTTTTGAAAAATGAAGTACACTTCTAAATTGATTGTCGCGTGAGTTTCATCGATGTGCGAATAATAAAGGTGACATTCAACTCACTACAGCTCAATTGTCCTCCCCCTTGAAATTACCTAATCGAGTGGGTAGAAAATTAAACATGCCGTAATGTGTTTCAAATTTCCCAGATTTTTTCCATTTTCGATTTCGTATTAGTATAACAAATTATTAACAAGAACAACTCGAAGGAGATGAACTTTGCGTAACGGACAATTGTGTCCATGATGCATATTTGAGGAGTGAAATGATTTCAGTTTTGTCGCCAAGATTCATCAATGTTTTGTACTTTCATCGGAAGCATATTCTACTGTCAGAGATTAGGGAGGATTTGCACAACGTAAGCTAGTTACACCTGATTCGCTCAATTTTAAGACATCTTATGAATGAAACCAGATGGCAGTTTTGAGTTCCTTTATTTATCATTTATAATGCATTTGTTTTTTTCTAAACAAAAATATACTTGCTGATTGTTCTCGAACGATTAAAAATGTTTAATGGGATATTGTCATATTTGAAATATGAACGAATTACGGATAGCGAATCATGTCCCCAAATCACAGTTCAAAATTTTGTTATAGGCGTTTAAACAAGGTTAACGTTTATCATGCCTCATAGGATTTTCTGAGAATCTTTTGGACAACTTTACAACGAGAAATTAATAATGATATGCCTGATCACTTACGAATATTGAAATGTTAGGTGTTTCAATGCTTTATCGATTTGTAATTTGAATAATCCAACAAGGACACACAAAATGGAATGGAAGAGAATTCCTTACACCGCACATTCTGACTCAAGCGAATGGTACCGGCATTCAAGGTGACTGTTCTGGGTCCTCAGCTTTAAATGATGCCCCCACTGAGGTGATCATTTTGAGAGAAATTTAATGCAGAAGGGTAAGGTTGATTGGGTTGTTGCAGTATGAAGTATGTCAAGATTGGACCCATCCAAATTTGAAGGTACCGAGATGTGTAAAGCCCTGTGCGGACGATCTAGACCCTTCCTGTCGCAATCATGGACTTCATACTTGAACGGCTTATTCCGTGTTTGGCCGAATAAAAACTGATAGCAAGCAGGGGAACAGTGCTTTATCCCACTGCCCGAAAGCGCGTTAAAGTAGTCCAACTTGCTTTGGAGCCATGGATGATGCCCGGCACAGTACGTGGAATATCCAGTATTCTGTACCATAACTCCCAAACTTTTAACGATCGCTAAGTGTTGGAGTCGTCCGCAAATACTAATTTAGTTGGCCAAGGAACATGTGATAGGTCGTTTATACAAGCAAGAAAAAGATGAGGCATCAACATGGATTATTGCGAAAAACCTCGGTCAACGGCGAAAGATTCAGATAATGATTCATAAACACGAATTGACATGGCTTTTTGTGGGAGAATCTGGTGAATCTAGTCAAGAACCAAACATCTTACACCGTAATGTTTTCGCAGTAGAATTTGGTGGTTAACTCAAACAAATCCTTTCGAGAAGTCCAAATAAACTATGCCCAATGGATCGCCTGCATCGTCGGATTTTGTCCACTCATCTCGTGCAACAGGTAGATTTGTAGTGCACGTACGCTTGTGCTGAAATTCGTGCTGAGTTGGAAACAAAATCTCATGCTTCTCCAGATACTCCATCAACAATTCTGCCGCAAACGCCTGCCTGGCTTTCGACAGCATCGGAAAAATTGTAACAAGGCGGTAGTTGGCGTGATCACTGCGAGTGCCCCCTTTGTAAAAGAGTGAAATCACTCCGTCCTTCCATAACTGCGGAATTACAGCCTTGTTGAAGATCCCTTGGTGAAGAACAGCCAGAGGTTCGAACATCTCATTGGCTAGTGAGATCAGAGTTCGAGGGAGCATGTTGTCCGCGCCTGGGGATGACTTCTTACGCAAAGTTAGTGGTTTTGCTCTAACTATTTCATCGTCAAAGCTATGTTAACCATTGACGGATAAGGTATATAGGATATTATGCTTGGAAACTATAATGATTTGTGTGTCTTTGCAGTAAACAAGCGATCAATTTAGGTTTTGAGGAAATCTGCTACTTCTTGGGTAGTTGTGGATACATTCTGAGTCGATCTCAATGCTAGTATTTCGCTTTTTACCTTCCTTTTAGAGTTGATATGTTAATAAAGCTATTCTGGAATGGAAATACACTTTTGAGCCAGGGTTTCTTGGTATATCAATTTGTCCTCCTCCTGAAATTTCGTACACTCATTTATCAGAAAATATAATTATTCCAATTTTCGATAGATGGACGTCTTCTGTACTCCCGACAGGAAAAGTCCCTTTGCTCTATCCATTTCTTTTTTAGGCTGTGAACGAATGATAGTTGCGTTTTAGATGTAGCACGAGTTTGGATACTAGTTGCATTCTTTATTATTTCTGTAACTCGCAACTCTTTTATGCCACCAAAAGATCGCGTTCGTCTTCTGGGAGGAGTGTGTGCTTAAGTACTCCCAGGTTTTGCAACTTTTTATAGTCAGTCTACCGTGGCACGAGTACTAGTCTTTCGCTTTTCTTGGATAGATGCCTAGCCGAAATAATCGAAGCTCCATATGGCATGACTCCTTTGTCCTAATGGAGATGCGACAGTGACAGATTTCACTATCGGCTCCTCGTTCTTCAGTACTAAATCAAGTGTTGATGGTACGTGAACTGCTTCGAATTCGATGGGTTATTTTATGTGGTCGTATAAAAAATGCAAGCTAATAAACTGTGATAATTGTCTGACGAATGGCTGGCGGGAAGTCCTCGTTCTGAAAAGATTAGATCATGGATGAACTTTATTGATAATACATTCCTCATGGTTTGCGTCAGAATCTCGTTGGCTGCGTCTGAAGATAAGGGAGGTCGGTACTCGACACTGATTAGGCACAGTCTTAGTGAACACCATAGCTAATCGGGGCTGCATCGGGAATATCAAGCTGTTCATACTGTGTATTATATCGATGTTAAAGTGTCACTCCACCGCCTTGTGTAGTGCGATCACTTTTAAGCAGCAGCAACAGTCCTGATAGACCCAATTCCGAGTCAAGAATATCGGTGGTAAGTCAGGTTTCAGTAACAGCAACAATGTCGCATCGATTGGTTTTTCAACGAAGCTCCATTTCGGAGAAATTGTTAAGGTAACCTCGTGCATTGTTATAAAAACAAGGAGGATACTTTCAGTACATAGATCTTTTTTGATTATGTAGTGTTGTTTCTGCCGACCCACGTTCCGTCGGTTACCATGTTGTTTTGTAGAATTGTCTTTGTCGGTGCTGCTTGGTGAATGTGGATAGCTAAAAACCGCACCAGTTGAGGAAGGTGGCTTGTTAATATCAGTTTACCTTATCGGACTTTGTTGGGATCCAGAATGCTGCTGTAATCTGAGGTGTGATTTTAATGGGTCTCTTCTTCTATTTCCCTTCCACGACTGCTATACAGAGTTGGCCATTTCTGGCGTTCCGAGGATTACTTCCATCACCATTAAGCCTTTCGGTGAGCTTGGTAGATGACTAATTACCGTAGTAAGAACCTGATCAGAATGATTTACATCTCCAATGAACCCCCATTACTTGAAGTCACAGGGATTCATCTGGATCCTCCAGTTGAGGGACTCCATGAATTAGAACAACCTGTTTGTTCTCTGATTGCCGTGAATTTGTCGGATTGCTGCGATACTGTGTGCGCGCCGTATAGGCTGCAATGGTCAGGCGGATAAACCCACTCATGTGTGCGCGTGCATGCCCACCCATATACAGGTTAGACAGCGCGTTCATTGTTCTCCCTAACCTAATAATGCAAGTTGGCTGTCTTGCTTGATCAGTGTGTCAAGTGAGCTCGGTCAATACAGTTGTCGGACTATTGCATTCTTGTGACGTCTACCCACGTGGAAAGGGTTATAGCAAGGGTCAGTCTAGATTTATTCTTCATCTACTCGAATCTTTCTTGAGAAGGTTTCCAGGTCCCTCTTATCTGCAAATGTTACACACGTCAATCGTGGCTCCCCAGCATGAGGTGAGGATGGATGGCGAAACAAACAATTGATTCCAACTGGGTGAAGGTCAATAACCATATTGTTACATAAATCAGCCAAGCGATCAAGCGCGGCTACTTGGAAGCACACTAGCAATTTTAGCTTGGAATCTCCTTTCACCCAGATGCAAGAAAATGATCACAGTAGTAGCGGTTAGTTTATTGAGAAAAGTCGATGAGATTAAAGGTTATTGGTTGAACAGGTCTTATCCAATAATTTACTTGCATTTTTAGCGTCATATAGCTGTCGTTTGAACCACAAGATTTCTGATTTGTTGGACCTGTCGGTCTGTGGTTTGTTGAACAGTAAATGTGACATCTGACACCAGGGATGGGGTTATCGGGAAATTCATAATCACCATATGAAATTACAACTTCACCCGGGAGAGCATTCTTTTCGCCCTTTGTACCATGTCAACCGGAAAGGCTCCCCAATTCACATGCCCAGTCAATGCTTTGTTATTACTTGATGTTAGATATCAAGTAGGAAGTGTACCGATACCAATGAATTCAAAATTCGATTGTGTACCAAATCACTCTCAAATTCCATATGACAGATATCGATCCATGAGGCAAACTGTTGACTTAACCCAATTACTATGTTCAAAGAACGTGATTCTTGAAATTCTATTTTGAAACAATCAAGTTACTAGGAGAAAAAAATACAAGGCAAGAATTCGTGTTGTCACCTTTGAAATGAGCTATATATAAACGACTAACATTGAATATTTGTCTAATCAGTATTCTAGCTGCATTACCTACAGCCTATTTTTTGAGCGAAGCTTATAGAGAAATGGTGAAGTTTAAATGACTTTGAAACACCTATTATCCAATGCATGGCATGAAACGTCGTGAAATAAAGTAAACGCATGATTAATGCAAGCACTTGAACCACCCTCTCCATGTTGCTCACCGCCGGCCAGATAAAAACCACATTCGGACTATGAAGAATAATGAATTGACAGCAAAAATGTTACAAAATGAAATTTATCGGTGTAATCAATAAAAATGCTGAAATCTCATTCAAAATGTGGTGCCTCAACATCGATAGACAAAAAGAACAACTCCCGATGATATTATAGTGCAGCTGCACATTACTCATTAAATCAATTTGAGTTGGTCATCCGACTGATGCATTTTGATCAACTGATACACCATTTCATTGGCACAGTCATAAACGCGATGATTTTTTCACACGGAAAATCCATTTCATCGAGAGGCAGCACACGTCTGACCATATGAACGTGTTGAATCAGTAGCGAGTTTAGTATAAAATGGCACATGGAAGTCTATCGATGGTGCGCACTCGTACTTACTACACGTAGCGGGGACATGAATGATACGAGTAACTTTAGAAAATGTGAAACGCCAAGTTCGATTTTGATCACTGTTCTACAACATCAGCAGCCTTAATTTCATAAATACTACCATAGTTCACTTAGTCCATGCTGTGCAAAGAAACACACACTAAACATGATTCCAGATTACTTTCCTCATGTTATACAAACTTGGTCTGTTATCTGGTCGACTGTGAATCGCAGATTAGTTTCTGAGCCTAACTGAGCATCATCTGTTCCCTATACACTGGAACATCCAAGGTAAGATCAGAGACAAAACAATGATATGGTGAAGAAGCTTGTTTTCAAAGTTTGATCTAATTACCAATTACAACGCATTATGTAACTCAGGAAGCAAACAAGTGCGCAGTTAAATCCGAAAGTTAGTATGTGTAAGACTAAAGTTGACGGTTTGATGTTTCTCCTCTGATCGTACAACTTGTGATAATCCCTTGCGGTATGTAAATATTCTGCTGAATGGTAAGTGGGGACATTTCCAACACATGACCACAGCAGAGTATAGGTTTCACGAACATTTTCCCCGTGTGTGGGTATTAACGTTTGTGGATTCTAATTGCTACCGCGTCTGCTGTAGGTAGCAAGTAGGCTTTTACCTCCTTATATAGGACCCCCGTCATAGATTACGGTGAACCGAACGGTGTGATTTGTCTTCCGAAGATGTGTACCAACCGCACTTGCCACCTTCTTAGTTGTTTGTACATTGTCTGCGTAAGAGTGTCACATTTGAAACGCAAATAAATATAAAACTTTTTCTTTTCTACTGATGCAACCTTAAGTTTTTTAATGTAGACTCTCACGTAATAATTGACATGTTCATCGGGTTATCACTATTTTGAGAACGACGGATAGCTGTTTAGACTTCATGACCCAGTTAGTCACTAGATCAAAGCTTTCGTACACGAGTGACAATAAACTACATTAGGCTTTGTTTACACTGCACTGGGGCAAAACTCTGATAGTTGTTCCATTCCCCTTCAAGAGTATATTTTCTATATTTGTTTCGTCTTAGAAGACCATCTTCCTGGTGTGACACGTAAACATCCAGGAACGCCATTCTTTGAGCAAATTGTGAACGTTGTAGTACGAGGAGCCCTATAAAACTATCCTGTATTCTTCCGTTTATTGTGTTTTATAGCAGTCCTTCGATGAAGAGGAACTGCATACCGTAAGTGGTAAATTGTTCTACTGAATGAAAGATTGTAAAATGTAAATTAAAACAGAGGACTTTTTGGGTTATTACCAGCACAAATATTATTATCCATTTCTTTACAATACTGTTAACCGTTAAACTGAAATTGA